TGTCACAAGACTTAACACTCAGTGGTATGCATATAGGATGACGCCAAAAATGATGGAAATTATTGAAAAATTTAGTAAGAAAACGACCAAGAAACTGCGATTGAATACCTTCTTCAAACAAAAGAAGTCTTCCTCTATACCAGGGAACTAATAATGAGCGAAATACGGAGCGAAAACGGCGTACGTGCTTCGTGATTGAGATGGCTGGCAGCCGTGTTCGGCCCAAAGTGATTCAGTTCGGATCACATGTACATATCATGGAATCATCATCAAATTGTACTGCCTGATTCAGACTAAAACTAACCAGAGAACGTACGGCCACTTATTCGTATGCAAAAAGCTACCAATTATTATGCTAGAGCCCTACTGTGAGCTGAAAGAATTATATTCTAAACAGAATGGAATCGCTCGAATGGTTTCAATGTCATTGGAAACTTAAGGTAATTAAGAACATGCCATTTCCGGGCTTTTGGGTATACTGTCACAATAAATGAAAGGAGGGTAAATAACATATTTTTTGTTGAATTGTAGAGGTTGTACAGGCTTTAAGTTAAGTGAAAATATCTGTGACGAATCTCTTTAGAACTGTGCAGAGTATTTTTGGATTTAAACAAAACACGATTAAATTGAAATCAATAGAACGTGAAAACTCATGTTTCAAGAAGTATCTCCGTACATTGATTTGATGCAAACTTCAAAATGTATTTCGATTATTACCTTAGTATGAGACAAGTACCAGTTTTCAAACAGATTTTACCCTTTCAGTTTCCATTTTGATGGTTCTACGGATCATTCAGGACAAATCGGTTTAAGGGCAAACATAGGTCAGACAAAAAATTTACAAACTAACACCATTATTTTATAATTATAACGAAAGGTACAGCCATACAAAAGATGATGATGAGACAACATCTACGTCTACATCTACGTTCGTTTTGGTAGCTCTGTCCTCCGGCAGGTTATTGGTATACCAATAGGCACCAACAGTGCACCTTTGTTGGCTGATCTCTTCCTTCATACCTTCGAGTACGATTTCATGGTCAAAACAATGAAACAAGACAGTACAAAAACCATCCAGTTTAGCAACACCTTTCGGTACTTCGACGACACTTCCGCATCATCCACTGAAGCGGGTTATCTCGACACGAATATCAAGACTGGCGACATAAATACACCTTTCCGTATCAGCATCTGCGATAAGAGAGATGATTTTCCATCCCGGATTGTCAACTTCCCTCATATGGACAGCAACATGCCCGCCATTCCAGCTTACGGCGTTTATATATCTCAACTGCTGAGATACGCTAGAATTTGCACGTCCAAAGTTGACTTCCTAAATAGACTCCGCGGACTTTCATTACGTCTCAGACAACATGGTTTTGAAACCAATCTACTTCAGAAATCATTTAATAAATTCTTCAATCGCCAAGGTCTTATCGTCGAGACGTATGGTGCAGCTCTGCGGGAGATGAGATTATCAATCCAATTGAATTACACCAGCGTATCCTTACATCACTTATTTATTACTTATAGATTTGTATTTCTTTCGTATCTTGGCACGTATGCGTACAGTTTTATTTTGTGCGCGTGCATTGAAATAATGTCTTAATTTTACTTTGAGTTATTTTCCTCAGTTGTATGTGTTGTCCGTGACTGTGCTCACATTGTAGGTGGCTCGTCCTAAAATGTTCTGCAATTGGCGTAGGATATATATTAATGGAACCGAAACCAATTGGGGAATTGCACACATTTTAGGCATCCTACTGATGAACAGTTACGACACGTAGATATATTTTTTAGCAACTACTATAATTTGCAGTCTGTCCACTTTGAAATGTATGTTTACAGATACCACAGCAAGCACGTAACGCTCGTTTAGGCAGGACTATCCAGTAATACGCTTTTACTGAGAAAAGTATGCACTTTTGCAACGAATTGAAGTGATATGAACGATCAGAGTTTCTTTACTCACCTAAAAAGTTGCCATTTAACTACCCATAACGAGCCCTCTCTGTTTTTTTTTTACAACAACTGCCCAAATACGTGCATAAAGTTAACACGTTTCGTTAAAGAGGAGGTTCTTTCATATCGTGATCGTTATTCACTGAGTATGATTTGGTTACTGACATGACATCACATATAAGATATAGGTTGAGTACCACAAGTCTGTAATAATCTCCTTAGAGCTAAATTGCAAGTCGGCGCGGCTTCAAACACTATTATTTTAAGTTATGACTGACTACATTTTTGCGGTGAAAATGTGTATACGTTTTTACTGAGGAACTAACTTAAACTTAAAGTGTGCTGAAATCACTAGCACTACTTTGTGTTTCTCTCTGATTGGAGGAAATCGCGTACCACTGGCGTACGGTTGATGAATTGCACATTTTTGTGACTCTAATGGTGCAGACTTTAAATATACTACCCTGCGAGCGGAGGTTTCATTTCGGCATGGTTTTCAGCATGCATGCACAGAGCCGTTTGCGTCACTCTGGGGTCATTCGCGTAGTTGGCTTGTTTGCATTAAGTATCGAAGCTCATATTTGAATGACAGCGACGCGAGCGACTACGCACATGCAGTCATAAAGGCTAGAACTCTGCTCGCAGGGTGAAGACTTTTGTGAAGATTCGACAAAAATTATGTTAAATCGGGTTTCATCAGAAACATCAAACGGCCTTCACCTCCGTTGCAAAAGAAAAAAAAATGAATATTTAAAACAGAATTTGAGAATCAACAAAGGCGCTCATTGAATTGGAAACATGGATGACAAAAATAGCTGACAAGTGTCAGTTGTTATTTTTCAAGCATTATATTTCCATGGTAACAATGGACGAATCGTTTTGCAGTAATGTATTAGGGCGAATTTTGAATTTTTGGCGGACTTTCATGATTCGGGAAGAAATCTTGAGTTCATCAAATCCTGTGTAAGTTCTTCCTTTGATATTTATCAGCACATGTAAACGATTGTATCCGACCGGCTGCCATTAATGAATCTCCTCCTGAACATAGGAACCTCCTTCCACAAACAGTTTTACACCCGAGTATTACTGCCGAGCAGCCAGGGTTGAAACGTTGGATGTAGCGCTATCCATCGGATAAATCACTATCTACTGGATAAGTTTAAGGAAAACCAATTGCACTATCAACTGGGGCCTGATTATTAATTATACTTAAGACCACAGATACACCTTCTAGAAACAGTGAGCTTAATTCTGCATTAATTTCTCTTCAAATTCTACATACTGTATTTAAAATACTTTATAATTGTTTATAATGTTTTATGTGTTTTCCGTTGAAGAAGTAATTTGAAAGGATTCCTTTAAATAACTCTTGCCCCTAATATGAGTTGCAATGCTTATTCTCTTATCGACCAAACAGATCTAACAAATATTTTCAAATTCATAAATAAATAAATGAAAATAAAAAATAATGAAATAGCACCGGTTGTTATAAGGCCCATACACACTGCCAGTCGGTTTCCATTGTAACGTTATCTTCATTACTTGAAGCCACAAATATAGCGAGTCAGTCAACATCGATGACGATGTTTACTAGTTTCTGTAACTATTCCGTGCTACCCTCTTAAAATAAAGTGTATCATTATTATTATTATAAAGATTAAAATAGTAAGGGCTGCCACCAAATTGAGTGAAACATAAAAATAACGGCTCAAAACAGGAGAGAAGGTATAAAATCAATAACACAGCAAATACATAAGAAGCCACGGATTGCAAATTGCCGTTTTTGAAAATTTGCTGTTAATTAGCCAAACAGTTTTTCAAATTTTGTTATTGTTGTTGGTAACGTTTGATCTAATGGTTTGGGTGAGATATTTGTTCGATATACTGTTTATTAGAAGTAAATTTTTGCTTAAGTCAAGCTCCTTAGAAAGGTAGCGGGACAAGGTTATATCGCTCAAATGCTGCAACACTTTGATCTCAGTCTGTAACTCGGTTGTACTATATTGGAAGACTGACTGAGCAATAAAATGCAACTGGCTGCAAAATCGCACGTTTAAAGTAATTTGTAAGAGGCTCATTCGAGTTCTTTAAACTGGCAAAGGAATTGCAGCAATGAGCACCATCGTGAGTTAGAAAATTCTTATCAAGATTCTTCGGGAGAAGGTTTCCCTTTAAGGATCCCGTGAATTAAAGGTCGAAGTTACACTGATGACTTCAAGACATGTCGTTACTGTGAACAAGTCACATTGTTCCTCATTTTGACTTATTTAAGAAGGGAAATGTTTTCGTGTTTACAAAAACCGTTTAGGTAAAATCAAAGGCTACTAGGAGTGAACTCATGGATGAATTGAATCGTAAACGAGCATGGGTGCTAAGTGCCAGTGCTCTCGAATTTCGTGATTGAGTTTCGTTATTTTTATATTGACAACCGAATGTTCAAGATTATCACCTCTGTATTTATAGTAACTAGAAGGCTTGAGAAACATTCCATTTTGAAATTCCTTCGTTTTAAACCGCTTGGGCACTGTAACATATTCACTTTTCTCCTTAGCTTTTTTTTTTTTCATGACCTTCTGTGTGTGTTGGTTACTTGATAGATCATGTTCACGTTTCTTTAGCATTTGATTTTTGGCGTGTATTTTCTGAGCATCGATCTGCTTTTTGGCATACAGTGTTTTAAGAAGCATTTCGTCAGCATTTCTTCGGTAACTTTTTGGCATCTCTATATCACTCAGGCTTATTTAAGGGAGTCAGATCCTTGCCCGAAGCTGTACGTGCCAGTCTGACCTTATAGGAATTCAAACCCGACACAGTCGAAGTATCCGATTGCATGTGCAACTAATATTCTAGAAACTTGTTATCAGCGCAGCATTCCTACTTACGCGAAGATTACTTTAAGCTTATTAACGCTTTTTAGTGGTAAAATTTGCTTTCTCATGTGAACGTCAACGTCGCTTTACAATTCGAGGACCGTTTTCTGCAGCTAAGGCTTTTCGGGCCTATCCGCTTTTCGCTGAACGAAATCCCATCGTCAGACTTCGATACCTCTTTCATACTCCTGTCGATCGCATCTTCTCCATATCAAGTAATATCGGTAACAAATGTGCACAATTCGTCCAAATATACAACAATGATCCACGCTCAATTATTTCAACGTCCTTTGAACATCTTGGGGAAGATATTGTCAGTGCTCTTTAGAATATTTCCGTTTATACAAAACACATCTTCGGCTGGCTACTCTTTTGTCTCGGGAAAAATGTACGCCTTAATTTCTAGTACCCTCTAGAATATGCCAAACATATGCGTAAAAGGCACTTGGAACAATTTAAAGTAATACTAAGTAAGGGAGGCAAGGGTAAAGTGTTTAATTTGGCTTCAATGAATAAATTAATAAGAATCGAGTGAGTGAGTGAGTGAGTGAGTGAGTGAGTGAGTGGGTGAGTGAGTGAGTGAGTGATCGAGTGCCATTCGAGTGCCTCCACAAGCCCATGGCATGACTACGTCATCCATGGGCTAAAAATGACTTTTCATTTATGTTGTTTAGTATATATGAATAATTTTAGACAGCTTTCAGAATAATTTATCATGTGTCCACCCTTAATTCCTGCCAAAGTTTCTGATAAAAAAGCTGTCTGTCTTTTGTTGCTGTCATCGATCTCAGACCAAGAAAGTAGTTCAGTACTCAATTGGTCAGATCACAAGCTAGAGTCACGGACTTTCTCACTAAGGCTAGATCGAGGAACTATGACTGAAATACACTACAACTGAAGTATACACTAACTGATATACGCTTCTCACTTGCGCTATCTTCGATGCCTGACGATCACTTCTTTCTTCTTTAAAACCAACATTTTGGGTTCAAACTGATATAGTAAAAAAATTTTAAAAAAATATAGTCAAAATCGCCACCGTTTCAGTGAGGGTCCCTGCTAGCTTTGCTATCTTATTTGAATTATTCTAAAGACTTTGGGTTATAGAAAGATGTAACATGAGCTGGATTTTGCCATAATTGGGGGAAATTAACCGTTATGTGTCGGGCAGTAAAAGACAGCTGCTTCAATATTGCCGAAAAAACAACGGGAGGATGTTAAACTGAGGAAGCGTTAATTTCTGATGACGCATTCAAACCTGTCGATCTTGCAGACCGCTAGTCCGGCGTTATACAAACCTCCCAGTGAATATGCGAGAAACGGATGTTTTTGTAAAAAATGTAATGTATTTCTGCTATTCTGAAGTTCCTTCCCGTGTGGCAAATGAAAAATTCACGAAAAGAACATATGCGGATTTTTTACTCTCTCTACGGTTTTGCTGATGATTTCATTCGTAAAACGTGTGCCATGACTCCAAAAACAAGCGAGACATCAATAGATTACGGTTGAGGTAAGCTTACACTGAGTTAATCAATTAAGCCCTAAAGTAGGGCCCTTTCCGGCTGCCGGGCATACAGCTACAGCGAGTATGTAGCCACAAAATGTATACGCCGAACATATTTTTTATGACGGATTCTACGTATACGAGAATGCGTAGCCCGATAGAAAATGATCCGTGAATACACATTCCATATTAGAGATACAATGAAACGAGGTTAATACACGCATTCATCTCATCCAGACTGCTTGTATTGTTTCATGCTATTTTTCATGCAGATTTTTCTCTAACTTCAGCAAATAAGCCTTAGAGCTGTCTAGTTTTATATCTGTAAGTTTGAAGTCAACCATGACCGTAGAACTCGCTGCACATATAGCTGGTCAATTTAACCTTAACTGTGCAACGCTAACACATTTGTGAAAGTTGACACTCAAAGAGGAAAACTGCCGGATGACTATCTCCTATCTGCAAGAATATTCTTACCCAAAGCTTCAGTTGCAAAAATCTGAGTAATCAGAAACCTACGGCGAATACAGTTCGCAATACAATGCAAGAAGAACCACTTTGTGCTGAATGCGGGGCAAGATTAAAGAACTTCCATTCATCAAACTCACTGTGTACTTGTCCCTCTCTTTTCGAAACCTATCTTAACAAAGCAAAATATAGCATCTACGAAAAACTTTCGAAAGTTTTTACCGACGCAGGTTTCTGTCATGAGGAGAAATAAAGCGACCGACTCCAGTACTTCAACCGATCCATGTTCAGCTTCAACGAAAACCCTTGTATAAGGTAATTTATTCAAGCTTTTTAGATTTGTCAGTCACATTCGCACGGGACGTTTGCCACTTAAGCATAAAGATGAAGAAAATATGACAATCGTCTTGTTCTTTTCATTATCCCCAACGGCAAACTTCCTGTGCGATTGTGATGTCAAGTCTAACAAGCTTGAATAAATTACCTTATACAAGGGTTTTCGTTGAGCTGAAAATGGATCGGTTGAAGTATTGGAGTTGGTGGCTTTATTTGTCCTCAAGACGGGAACCAACCGGTAGAAGATTTCCGTAGATGCTATGTCTTGCTTTGTTGAGATTTTTTTAAAAGAGAAGGGGAAATACACAGTAACTTTAATAAACAGATGTTCTTTAATATGGCCCGCATTCAGTACAAAGTTTTTCGGCTTCTTGTATTGCGAACTGTATTCGGCGTGGGTTTCTGATAACTCAGTCTCTTGCAACTGAAGCTTTGGGCAAGAATACCCTTGCAGGTAGGAGATGGTCCTTCGGCAGTTTTCCTCTATTTGAGTGTCAACTTTCACAGATGAAATGTGTTAGCACTGCGTTTTAAGGTTAAATTTGACCAGCTATTTCGTGATAGATACTTGAAAACTAGAGCTCTGAGGCTTATTTGCTGAACTTAGAGAAAAATCTGTCTCAGGGTTTCGAAGTTATTGGCATTTTTTGTAAAAATGTGGTTTTAAACATACGCCAATATCTCAATAGCCTGCGAACAGCAGACGCATTTCCGGTCGTCGCTTCTCTCCCTCCGAAAAATAGCTATTTTTCGGAGGGAGAGAAGCGACGACCGGAAATGCGTCTGCGGTTCGCAGGCTAATATCTCAAACGTTCGACCATCCTTTATTAAGGATGCCAAAAATCATAGAAATCAAAAACAAAACTAACGCGCATATAAATAGGTTCAGGCCACCTTAAATTTCCAAAAGAAGAACCGATAACTAATCAACTCTTTTATAAAAAATTTCTTTTTTTGTTTTTTCATCATTGACGAATAGTTGGACTAGATACTTTCACCGCAGTTGAGCGAAGCACGATCCTCGATCGTTTAGCTCGTGTTGGTATTTCTAGAGCTGAAAAGTTACCGTAGTTTCTTGGGAAACTACTCAGTGTACGGATCACTTGCAACACAAGGAAAAAATGATATTGTTTGTACTCTAGTCCGGCGTAATTATACGATATGAAAAAGATAAAGTCACTTTAAAGGTTCCAGTGCGTATTAATTTCCTCTTCAGTGAGCTGTAACGCACGCGCGGTGGGCTAAAAAGTAGTTATTGCAGAAATTTAATGGTAAAAAGGAGGAGAGATTGGGGCTTCCGCCCTCGTTCACCGCTCGCCTGTCACGCGTGTTCTCGATCAACCGTGACTAAAAATAAAAATAATAGACTGCTCGTTGTCTTACACGGTTCCACATGCTTCATGACCAATTGCGTGTGTTTTACCGCACTTTTTTTTCGACGCCTACGCATAGTATTTGCCAACAACTAAAATTAAAGTATGCTGTAAAAAATTTGAACATTAAGCAGGCACTGAGGAATTTTCGCGCTTCTCATGTGCAATTGTGAAAGGCTCCTATGTCATGGGTCATAAAGAAAACCTTAGAAGGCAGGGTGTATCTTTTGCTCCAGGGTAATGTACTTCGCTTCCCATATGCACATATTATTATTTGCTGAAATGAAAACTGAGCTCTGCTAATTACAATCTTAGCAGCGAACGTGTTACAGTAGCTTCACATTTGTCAGCTCGAAATGGATTTTAAGAAATCTTTTTGCTTGAGCTCTAGTATACAAATGATCACTTAATTTCTATATATACTAGATCTGAAAATAGGTATGGATTTAAGAGACCCGGTCTGAAAACGGGTGTGGAAATTAACTTTTTTCAGTCTGAAATAGGGTCAGGATTTGGAGAACCGGGCGACCCCCCCAAAAAAAGAAAAAAATTCCCGGGAATACCACCCGGGACTATTCAAGTATTTTTTTTGTTGTTTTGAGGTCTTCGCCCGTTTACAAGCTAAAGAAGAAACCTGGACTCCTCCTTAAAAACCAAAACATACAAACACCTAACATAAAAACAACAAACAAACTAAACAATGGTAGAATAAGTGGGTCCAAGCATGCTCCTAAATCAAATTGTCTCGCTTTACCTTGTCCAGGAAGTAGCTTTCCATCCACCTGCATCTGTAGAACGTTTTTATATTGCTTTGTTTATGTATCACTCTGGAGAACTGTATGTACGTCATACACTCTTTTTTTTCTATAAGAATATATTTTATAAGAATATCGAGGCTGAAATTTGCGAAATCTTAAGAATACTTTAAGAATAAACTCCAGGCTGAGATTTTTAAAAGGATATAATTTCGTGTGGTGAAAATCTGTAAATACAATACAAATATACGTTTTCAATTTACTCCTTTCTTTAAACGGCAAATCTAGCTAACTATATTTGACAAAACTATAATTGATACCTTAATGTATTCTACAACGGAAATGTCATAAGCTATTATTAAGAATAATACAAGAATATTTAAAGCCTAAAATCGGCGGAAAAATAAGAATATTCAGCCTGGCCCTGGAAAACAATATTCTTATAAAAAAAGAGAGTGTATGTGGTTGAGGCGTCTTCTGGCTTTTTGATCAGCGGGGCAACTTACGTTTACATACATAGGGAGACTATATGTTGACTTGACATAGAGTACTGGCTGCGTTATCACTTTTTGCCAAGAAAGCACTTTTTCGGTTGGTTTTATTAAAACACTTATATTACTTAATGAAACCACTGTGTTCCTTGTCAGGTCCCCCAAAGTTAGTGGTATTTCAATATGTTCAAACTTTATACTATGTTTTTCTTTTCTTTTAGCGTCTGGAGATCGGATCAATTCAAGTACCTTAGAGTTAAACATTCCAAGTTTACCTGATGCCTGGGTACAATTTAGCCACCTCAGACAAAGAGGGCATCGATCCTAAGTATCTGTGCAATTCCTGTGGTTTGCTCCTACGAGAAGCAATGCAAACGGCTTGTGGACATTTCTACTGCCGATCATGTCTTGGAAATCTATTCAAGTAAGCTGTATTCTCATGTTTCTCTTCCTGTACTTTTGGTTTGGTGTCGTTTTCGTTGTCGTGTAAAACGAAAAATGAACTTCTTTTATTAATTCTGAGCCTTTAATTGTTCGTTTTCATTTCTTGCACAAGGTTAGATGGCATTAAGTAATCTTCTTGATGGCAGAATAAATTAATGCCTGAATAAACAGCATGCAATAACAACACATGAATGTAATAGTTTTTTGTACCTAAAATCGGATGTAAGAGTGATAGCAAAATAGGCCCTGTTGCGGTTTGGAAGCCATCTTGATGAGTATAGGCAACTGTGTGAGAAATTACAGTGTTTGTTTGAGAATCAAATGTTTAATAATTTCAGTACTGCATCAGTCAATTCCACCTGTGCCCAGTCCGTCCCAGGCTACTGCGGGGCATTTGCCTGCCTTGTCAGTCTCGGGGGTGGGGCATTTGCAAAGTTTGCACTGCCCGGGGGCCGGGCATTTGCCAACCCTGGGGCCATTCCTGAACTTTTGACACGCATGCGGTTTCCTATCAGAATATAACTACACAGAGGGTTTCACTGCCAAAAAAGCAGATTGGCTCATCTGTCAAGGACAGGAATAAATTGAAGAGGGTTGTAAAGGCATGTTCTCGATTTTATGCATGCATTTCTTCATTGCTTATCAAGCCAAAATTACATAGCGAAATTCGAGCTATCGATGTGAATCAACGTTTTTGGGTTATTGAATCAAATTTCTGTTGATATTATTTGAAGAACATCCTTTCATATTTATAACACTATTCATAACATAATTTTATATAGCTCTATTAATTTTAATGTCAATAATTTTATATCAATACTAAAATCATAAACTGATGCATGTCGTCGTTAGAATCGTTGGAATCCTAGCATGTCCTTAGAATCATAGTGCTATTTCAAAGGAAAAGTTTAATTGAAACGAAAAATCGCACATTAAAATGCTTAAAATGGCACTATTTGACTTAGCCTCCCACGCAGGCGTTTTTAGGGGAGCTCGTATTTCTTCCCTCCCCACAAACGCCTGCTCAACGGAAAACAACATTCCTTTTCTCATTGTTTTCTTTGCATGGTAAGTGACCAATCAACAATTGTGCAATTAAGTGTTGACAGCTAGGCTAAACACGACTGAACGTGACCTTGGAGTTACCGTTTTCCTTCTTTTCTTTCCTTTGCTAAGGTTATGCAGCGCACGGAGTATTCTGAATTTTGACTAATTCTTATTTTTTGCCGCTCTGAATCTAACATTTATTGCAGGTCAGAAAGCTTTCCCAGTGTTTAATGCAGATTGAGTAATTATCAGATTACCTTGCGGTCAAGGTCAACTTTCCAGAATTTGGAAAGTACAGTGTGATTGGCTAAGCTTGGGAAAGGAATGTTATCTTCAGTTGAGCAGGCGTTCGTGGGGAGGGAAGAAAAACGAACTCCCCTAAAAACGCCTGCGTGGGAGGCTATATTTGACTGTGCGATCAATGAAAAATGTTGCAGTGTTGACGGAGGACTGGGCATTTTCCCTCTTTTTTTGTCCCGACCCCGAGGGATTTGACGGAGAACGGGGCGTTTTCCCTCTTTTTTCGTCCCCACCCCGAGGAATTTGACAGCTTAAGGCCAAAAAAATGCTTATGCCCGGTGGTGTTGGGCACAGTTGGAATTGACTGATGCATAAAATGGCCATTCTGAAAAAAATATGAATAAAATATAGCTTCACTCCTACTGATTCTACTGAAAAAATTAGAGGGCACTGCGTGCAACTACATGTGCTAGAAGAACTTTTTAAAAATTTTCTATACATTTGCCTGTAAAAAATTTTCTTCCTGCCGACTAAAATTTCTTGGGAAAAATTGCAGACAAATGTATGGAAAATCTAAAGCAAGTGTCTGGACAAATTTAAATGCAATCATGGCCCCCAAAGTTTGTTAGTAGAATCCTTTACTGTGTAGCTTAAGTTTACAAGTCATATATATTTTTTCAGAACATCCCTTAATAAGGGAAATTATTTAATGTAAGATTCTAATAATAAGTATGTGTGATCAAATGGTGACGAGTGAAATTAGGGAATAATTTTACGCGCATTTTGTCCAAATCCTTATAATTATTAGGATTTGGTCAAAACGCAAGTGAAATTTATTCCCTAATTTCACGAGTATACCATTTGATTACCTATTAATATCATGGGTGACGAATTACGTTAGCAATCGAGGATTTTTGACTTGTTTATCCTGGATCGTATTGATCGATCGTGAACTCCACTCTCTCAAACGTTTAGAGCTAAAAATTTGGCTTAGGTTTTAGAATTTTTCCACAACATACCTCAAAGAATACTTCTTGATGTGCTCTTTCGTGTGTTCAGGTTTTCTAAAGCGTCTTTTTATGCCCGGACATCTTCATTCATGACATTTCAAAACTTCCTCGCCATCTTGAAACGGAGTCGTACGGCAGGTTGCCATGGCAATTTGGTAATTTCGCATGTGAAATCGCGCCAAAATTAAGGAGTAATTCGTCACCTATGATATTATGATAATAATTTCTTTATTTACCCTTGGAAGTATTTATAGCACTTATGCTAGTGGGACCAAGCAAATTACTGAAACAAATAATTCAAATCAAACAGAGCAGGGTTAAGAATTCCAACTGGCCGGAGGCAATGGAGCTGACTATTTTACAAGCTTGGTCAAGGATTTGAACTCGGGACTACCGTGAACAAATCCAGCTAGTGGTCAGGGCGGGACTTGAACTCGGGGCCTCCAGAATTGCAAGTCCAGTGCTCTAACTGCTTGGCCACGCTGCCTCCACTCTCCTCCAAAATCAACAAAGCAAACTAGTTGATTGTGGCCTGAAACAGAATGATCACAAGCAACGAACCCCTGAAACAAAGAAACAAACCAAATAGATCAAAATCTATACGAACACTGTTATTTCCCACGTGGTTGCCTATTCATCAAGATGGCTTCCAAAACAGTGACAAAGTCTATACCCAGCCCGTTAAATATCTTACTTGAAAAGCTGCTCCTGCAGTCCCACAGTCATGTTATTATGCTAGGCTGGCAGTTCCAAAGTCTGGTAGTCAACGAATACTTATTGTCAAATTTGTTGTATCACACTGCCCGTTTTTCAAAGGCATGGTTTGTCATTTTTGATCTATTTGGTATGTTTCTCTGTTTCAAGGTTAGTTGCTTGTGATCATTCTGTTTCAGGTTACAATCAACTAGTTTACTTCATTGATTTTTCTCAGCTTTCTTACACTCCTGTCACTTGCAAGAATAAAGCAATGTTTGCTTCAAATTCCACTTATCATCACGACAACCATCGTCATTCTCAGTTTTATTTTTGTGGGCCAAGCTGGGTGAGCATGTACAAACATTGTGACATTCATTAACCCCGCCCCCACTCAAAGGATTGACGGAACAGAAAAACCCCAAAACACTTCGAAGTTTGCAAAACCCACAGCACGATACAACGAGCTTGGTAGTAAATCTAAGTAAGTAAAATGAGTGCTACTGCAGTCTGGCACTCCCACAGTTGCTGAATAGTAAATATTAATTGGGTATACAACTAGTGCTCCTGCAGTCGATGTCAAGTAACTGAAGTCAGGGATCTCAATATTATTGAACCTGTAATCTGTAACACCTGTCACGGGTGTCAGAGGTACATGTAAGTGTTACAGCTGTCAAAGTGCTTTGACCAGTAGATCAAATGACTTTGTAAAGTATTGACTGTTACAGTTGCTTTTGCAATAGACATTTCTTCTGGTTTAGTTGTCAAAATGAGTACCCTATCAGCAGACCACAGAATGACCAAACAATCACTATGCCTCCCAGTGACTCAGCAACCTTGAAATATGGCCGCCATATTGAATTTGTACATTTGAGCCGAGGCCTCTCACAGATGTCTTTCCATGTGCAAAAGCATGGTCGTTGCAAAGCATTTCTAAGCATCTCAAATCAAAATTTCCCTGGGGGAGCATTCCATGTGTTACGCTTAGTGGCACAGGAATGATAGTACACATTTCTATTGAGAACACTGCAAGTGTGCTTATAGAATGAGGTACAGTGTATACCAGTGCTCCCTCAGTCAATGTCAGAATTTATTATGTAAATTGGTTGACTGTGGGACTGTGGGAGCAGTTTTTGTAGCAAGATATTTACTGTAGCCACATTTATTTATCTTTTACTGTTTTAACAAGTTTATCATCTTAATTTTGCAGAAATGGAAGTTTCAAAATGACTTGTTTACAGGATAAGGTGGAATTAAATCAAAATGAAGTAAGTTAGAGTTGTTCTTTCAGACTGAGATGAGTTTATATGTTATTTTATTATTCATTTAAAGTATTCTTCCATTTCTGATTGGCTCAAATCCCCTGGCTTATTCTTCCTGGTGCTTATCATTTTGGGAGATTTACTGTAGTACCTGTAGGCAATATAGAATTAATTTGATGGTAAGCTGTTGCCAAATATAAAATCAGGCCTTGTTCCAGGCAGCAGCACAGCAGCCTGCATTTGTACAGTACCGCTCAAAAGTAAGTTACCTCTCGCGTCTCGTTTCCTGCGCGATTAGAGTCGCGTCGCGCGCTACGAGAATCGCGTAGCGCGAGAAACATTGAAACGGCAATTTTTGGCATAAATTATTGACGACACGTCCAGCGAGAAACCAACTAAAATTTTGCTTAGCGTTGCCTCGATGACTGAGGAATACGGACGTTAGATTTGGTGTTAAGTTTCTTTCGAGAAGCTTTCTTTTAGCTTGTCATCAGCACACTGTTTAGTTTCCAGCTTTGCTTGCGATTGACATTTGACACTGCACTTGATCATGACGTTTCGTTCGTCGAGACGTGAAAACCCCTTCTAGTATTCTTGATTATTTGAAAACCGAGGTAAGAAGAACCAAATATACTGCAAATCGCTATCGATGAGTTTCTCCACCAAAAAAATTTGTCAGCTCTTTTGATGTGTGTAGTTATCGTTCACGCGTAGCGGCAACTTTCGCCGACGAGATCTTAACAACGCTGGTAAAAAAAATCCAACTTGGCGTACGATCACGAAATAATGTTAGCTTAATTTGTTCTTTATAGCTTTTTTATCTAGTCACTACTTGATTTACAAAAGATTAACAAATTGCAGCGGCAACTTTTTTATACAGTCATTACTTGATTTCTGAAAGAAAGTTGCCTTGAATTTAACAAATTACAGCGGCCAAATAAGACAACAGTTGCTGAACAGCATTTTTTCGCCTGACAGCACATCACAAATTTGCATAGTGTCAAAAACATGTGTAATCTCAAACCTACTTCTCAGGTACTGTATTTGCATACTATGAAAAGATACGCCTTTCGGCGCTTCGATAAACTCATGCGCTGGCTTAAACTTTAAAGCAGCTCCACGAACTGATAGGTTTTTAAATATCCAACGTAGATTTTTTCCAGTAGAGTTCGATAGCACATCCGCTTGTCCAAATGAAGCCAAAAGCTATGACAGCGCTTTTGGAAGCGCGTTGCCGATTGTTCCACGATTCATTTCAGTTTGTAATGTTTAACAAAACCTGCAGGCAGTTACAAGCAAAGCTATCATCTCAAGGTGTTTTAAAGCAACTAGTTTTCAGTGTGGTACAGTGGATATAAAGCGACTTTATTAAAAGCATGTTTTACATAAATACGGAAATACCGATTCTTCACAAAGCAATTATACGCAGCAGTCTACAGGCGGGTCTACAGGTCGCAGAGGTAGACATTTGTTCGCGTGTTAGTCACGGTAAACTTTTACCATTGATTCGTTAAATCGCTCAAGAATTTTGGCCATGATACTTACAGTTTTTAGACCATCGCGCGCTACGAGAATCGCGTCCTGCGCCACAGGAATCGCACACAACCGCCCTGTTTTGACATGAGTGAATGGTGGATAAATGGAATGGTGAGTTCATGGCTACTGTATTAGAGGACGAAATAGCCAAATCAATGTAGAATAAACTGAATGGAAATGCAAAAAATATTGCAAGATACAATTTAAATGGCATCTACTTTTTGAATTGTCACATTGTTGGCAAGGAACTTAAATGTCTGTCCATTTTATATGTAATAAACATTTATCATAGTGATTCGATTGAGTGCCTTGGGCACTTATTTACTTTTGGTATCTCAAGAGAGGGTGCTTATTCGAGACAGGGCGCTTATTCGGGACAGAGCGCATATTTCTTTTTGAGAAACAACAGAATGTTCCAAACTAAAAAGAAGCACTAACAGAAACTGAAACAGTAACAGATATACGGTGAATGTTTAGTTAACGTGAGGGAATTTTAATCTATTTCTACGGGGATAGCTTTGACAGTGTCACTTACATCAATTCTGCAAATAAAAGCTCTCTGGTGCAGTATCGTCGACGTCCAATTCGTTGACAGTGTATAAAGGGGGTTGTGCGCGATGACATAAGGCTTTAGGAGCTTGCTCTGGGCCTGCTGGGAGAGATCGGAGAAACGTGTTGTGTTCTTGTTAGCAAGCGTTATGAGTACGAACTTTCTGAGTCTACGGAATCTGCAAAATCCTCTGTAATCTTAGGGAAATTAGAGTGTTGTAACCTAAGAAGCCTCAGACCTGGAATAAAATACAGTTCAGTTCAAATTCGTCTACAGGGGTCGGTAGGCAACACACGACTTTTTGCTGCTTGTTTGAATAAATTTTTAGAATGGCACTTATTAGAATGGGGGCGATTATTGGAATGGGGGCACTTATTGGAATAGGGGCTCTTATTCGAAAGGGGGCGCTTAGTAATGGTAACAGGACTGAGTGGAGTCCAATTCGGTCTGTAATAATACGAGTGGTTAACAAAATCGGACGACCGCGTAGCGGGAGTCCGATTTGTTTAATCACGAGTATGATTACAGACCGAATTGGACGACACGAAGTTCTGTTACCAATTAATCATAACTTTAACAAAATTTGTGATATAATAGGCTATTTTTTAATTCAAAACACAAGAAATTCGAAATTTTGCGCGTGCTGTCCAATTACTTAGGCATGACGCGTACTGTCCTATTAAACTGTCCAATTAAGGCTGAAATCAGGGCAGTTGATAGCCAATCAGATTTGACAATTTTGCTATAGTTATGATTATTGGAAGAAGGGGGCTAAATCAAAACATTACGGTATTTGAATTTGACTTTTGTATAAATATATGCAGAATTACACAGTTCTTGCCAGAGGCTGTTTAAATTAATGTCCACACTCCTCAACAGATCTTTCCTTTCCCTGGAACACTAGGTGCACTAGGTTCCTCGAAGGTTTGTGGAGGTATACAAAGAAGGCAAAATACCACTGTATAAAATAATGCTACTTTAATTAGATCAGACTGGTATCAAGCCATTACATGCTCAGGGCTCGAAGTTATCTTTTTAGTACACTTGCAAAGTTTTGCTGGTAAGAGTTTTTTCCGCTAGGAAACTGGTGAGACCACAAGCAAATTATTTCCCTTTGTTTGGGAGACATGGATAATTCTAACTCGCAATCGTTTGCTAGTGGATATTTTTCTTACTCGCAGATTATCAAAATCACTAGCATTTTGCGAGTTTGCGAGCGTTAATTTCGAGCCCTGATGCTCAGCACTGTTTTTGACTTGCTTTCCCCTGGACGACAATTATTTAGGAGTAGCTTGCTCAAATCATGTGGCATTGTTAACGGCTAAACAGGTATATGCAAAGTTCTGAAAAGGTTCATGTTTCCACGTCCTAGCTCCAGACAAGTGAGTTCCATTTATCAATGTGTGTTGCGCCTGGTGGTTAAAAGGGCGTCATTAAACCCGGCGAGCCATAAGTCACCAGCATTTCTTAAAGAAACTTACAAGTAGAGAGTTTTGAAAGAAAACTGGTGAAGACAATCCGGGAGAAGAAGTGATCCAGACAGTTAAGACTTGGGACACTGCTACTAAAAACTGCATGAAGATGACTTGTGTCCCATTTGCCAAGTGCTTTCAAGAGTGAAATTTGGGATTGTAGCATTGACTTGAGGTTGTGCAGTGTATTTTTGGAATGATTAGTTTGGTCTTTTGCACTTGGTGGCATTTTGGGTCACTTAAGTTACAACCTCTGAGAACATACATAAAGCAATGTCTTTGTATGTATGTTGTCAGAGGCACCAACTTCAAACGACTGAAAATGCCACCAAAAAGGCTGCAAAAGACCACACTGAAAGCAAACTTTCCTTATTGTAGTGTCGTTACCATATATATGGAGTTGTTACCCATATGGGATTGTATTGTGTAGACTAGGATTCCCGGATGTGCGAGCAGGAGGTTGTCAGATCGGTGTAGTAACCATAGCCTGCATAACAGGCGCTTTATGAGCCAAGCGAGGCGAACGCGGCATTTCGCGAAGCGCGACACGCGCGAGACGAGGGGAGGCGAAAAAAAGCGCCTGTTACCAGTCCATTGTTCTGGCTCTTCCCACGTTCACTTCACTTCATGGATATGTTCACTTCATGGATATGTTCCAATTAGCAAATTGATGACACGTGATCCTCGCGAGAATATGGTATGTTTGTCTGGAATGGCGCTCACACGGTCAAGTTCAGGTTCAAGTTCAAGATAAAGCAAAAGAAATGTTCAAATTTATTGCTAAAGAGGAAGGATGTTCTTAGATTGCTTCCAGCTGGGTTTGGAAAAAGCCTTATTTACCAACTTTTTCCTACCGTTTCGAGACAATGAATGGCGCCCGCGCCCACGCGCTTGTTGATAGTGCTTTAAAAGCGATTTCTGATGTGAAAATTGAAGAACTTAACGGTTTGGGAATATGTGTTTAGCAAGTTCTTCTGCTTAGCATAACTTGCGCAGTCCGTGGCGATTTTCCTCTTAAAAACCTCGCGAGCATATGGAGAGTTTATTATGGCAAACAACACACACTTGAAATTGTACTCTGCTGCTCGCTTAACAACAGTCGCTCACTTTCATACTCGTTCACTTTCATACTCCTCGGACATACCACAAAAATCTTGGAAGTAAAAAACAACAGGAACAAATAAGCAATAAAACTCAGCAATTACTGAAACAATTATTAGTCCTCTGTCCTCGAGATCACATTGATACCAAATGTAAACAACAAGATAAAACAAAGCTTTTGGCTTGTGTTGTCACTATTATCTTCGTTATTGTTTGTGTCTCTTCGACTGGAACATGCATTAAACCTTGGATTTCCTCTTGTACGTAATCCATCAATTCGATTAGTGCCTGGTCTACTTTCGTTGACTGGTAAGTTTTCTTTTCCCAGCGAGAACTTCTTCCTCTCTTTTCCCTGGGTGTTTTAAAACACGAGATGAACCATCCACGGAAACGCTTGGCCCGACGCTTGGAGAGCTCTTTGCTTGTCTTTTCATGCACGGATCCCTTGACAATGAATTCGGCCTCGCCTGGCTTCTTGTTTTATTTCGCTAGCTTCCTTGTTTTTATTTCGGACAACCTATTAATACAAGCTGGACAATTCGCCTTGTACACTTCGGACACGATCTACTGGACGGGCTTGAATCGTTTTGAATATAAATACCGTGATCAAAGAGCAGCTCTGACAACTGAACGCCCTCACATTTTTTGCCTTTGAGTAACAGAAAAAATTGGGATAGAGCTCGCAGAATAAGCAAAAGGTTTGCTACAAAATCTACACGACTCTGGTGGGAGTTCGCGAAGACATCGCCGAAACTCCTCAGCATTTATACAATACAGACGATAACGCTAGGAAGGTGACAATTTTCGCGCGAATAATGGATCGTACTTTGATTGGTCCTTTTGACATCACCGCCGTCAATCAATATTTGTGGGCGAAGGTGGGCGGGAGAGCCAGAACAATGGGCTGGTAACAGGCGCTTTATTTTTTCTCTTCCCCTCGTCTCGCGCGTGTCGAGCGTCGCGCGAAATGTGTCGTTCGCCTTGTTTGGCTCATAAAGCGCCTGTTATGCAGGCTATAGTAAACATGGAGAATAAATGTCGGTTGTCTTTTACTCCGGACTCCTTGATACAAAGCACCTTTACATTGGCTACGAGGATTCCCGGACCAAACAAGTGGATGGTTCTATACGATAGTCAAACCGAAGAACACGTGAAACATGGCCGCAGCGCTACCTACGTTCCCAGAGTTTGACGTAACTGACACTAGCACACAAGCTGCTAGTTGGAAGAAATGGCTTTCGAGATTCCGCAATCTACTCGTCGCAACGAACGTCACAGACAAGAAAAGGTAGCGAGCATTATTCCTCCATTCTGTCGGCGAAGCCACGAACGAAACTTTTGACACGTTACCTGACGGTGACAAATGAGTCACGAATTACGAATAGGTTTTCAGTGTAAGGGCTCGTGTAAGGGCCCTTACAACCTTACAAGGTGACGCTCACCCATAAAAGGAGCCTGGGCCCAAGTATTCGGAGAGAGTTAGAGTTGATCAGGGGGGGCTGGCAACGGCCTTTGATCCTGCCGCTTTTCTACTTTCCATGATCGCCCCAGTTAAGAAATCTGTCAATCATTCGAGAACTGTAGCAAGCATGCGCGAACCGGGTTAGGAACAACAACAACATCAAGAAGTTCGTCTTCGCAGCGATTCGACAGTGCGAAGTGAATTTGTTTTTGGTCCTGTTGGTCACTGCTTTCTTTGCTGTAACCGATTTTTTTGGCAGCAATGTGCTTACGTTTTCCTTTCTTCTGGTCTTGCGTTTGTCATTACATGCGGTTTACTACGCTAAGAACGAGACTAGTGAACGGTCATTGTACATGTTCCTCGATGCCCGACCTTTTGGCTCACTACAGGCTTTCAAGCTGCATGTGTTTCTGTTTAGAAGACCCACAAGACTAGAACAGGGGGCCAACCCTCCAATGCGTATGTAGGAGAGTTTATATTTTCAAGTGAAAGGCCGAAAATTAATCCTTCGTGATATTAAAAAAAGCGCGGTGGCCGTGGTCAAGTAGAAGAGTTGTCAGAGTTGTTTACGGTTTTATTACACCTTTAAGAAATGATGTTTGAGATTCTTAATTCCTCATCCTTGATTGTGAACTTATCCTGGCAGAGTTGCGTTGGATGATTGAGAGTCATGGTCAAATCTCGTAGTTCATGCATTTTGTTATGTACTAGAAGCTAAATAAATTTTGCCAAGAGATCATTCGCTCTTGATATGCTTATGTTCTTATCTTCGTGTGATTTAATTTAAACTTTACCATAGTTTCTAAGAAATGAATATAGGCAAATGAAAGGGTAATTGTTTCGTGTGTTTGGAATTCTCTTTTCGTGACAGCAGTTACTACACTGCCTTCAGTTTGAGTCCTCATTCAATTGTGTTTTGTTTTGTTGCAAACAAAGAGGGAGAAATTATAAATATTTTATTCCAAAAACTACACTACCCACTGGAACAAGAGTATGGTTTAAAAAAGATTAGCTAAGGTCAGAAAATAAATGCTCAAGTTTGCATGTTTTGACAAGGACTACATCTGGCTAAATATGCTTCAAAGGCAGGGAATTTATAAAATTAAAAAAATGATGACATTTCTATTTTTGCTTTTCCTTTGGCCACTGTGATCAGTTTTTGCCATATAGTTGCATGTAATGGTTTACACCTTTGGACATCAACCTGCCAGGTTAGTTTGTGTCTGTGTTAAAATGTAGTTTACTGTTAATGAAATCAAAGTAAACCCTCTCAACTTAAAAATTGCCTTGTACTAGTGGATATTGAAAACACCATAGGATGCCTTGGAAAAAAAATGTAAAATGATTATTAAGATAATATTATTTGCAGTCAACAATAGCAGTTAGAAACTTGTTTTGGGGCTGGCAAAAATATTTTTCAGAGACCATAAACCTTCACTGACGTTGCTGTTACAGCAAGCGGTAAAAGGGAATTAAATATGAGATCACCTCCCTGGGCTTACACTGAAAGAGAGTATGGGTAGTAGGACACATTGTGCATTTCCCTACCCTTTTTAAGCCAAGAGACCTTATTTTATAATCCTGATTCATTTCCTTTTTAATTAGCATACAGAAGTAAGGTAGCTTTTAAACTTTGAAACATGGCAAAACTTGGGGGGAAAATGGTGGTACCAATATACTGTACTCTATAGACCACAGTGAGTTCTTCTTCAACCTTCACAACCCAAACAGACACCTTGTTCAAAACTCTAAAGGGTGAAATGGTCACCACCCTAAATCAGCAGCACATACCCATCAAGGCCAAATAAGCCAAGGCTAGTATCGTAGAAAGAACTGCTGAGAGGATTGGGTTCAAGCCCGACAATAACTTCTTTTGGTGGTTGATAAAAAATCAGTTTTACCTTGTATAATTTAGTTGTAAATCAGATTCATAACTTACACAAACAATAAACTTAAGTTGTATATTTTTCAAGCCTCTTCTGATTCTCCTTATAAACTTTGCAAAACATTCAGTTTTTTTCTGTTTCTTGTACTTCGGTCCTTTGAGGGATTTTCTCAACACATACTCTTTCCTGATGTACTCACCCTTACTAGCAACTGAATTAGCCTCTTGTTCTTACACTAAACCACTATAATCATTTCAAGTATAATTCATAACTAAAGGGTAATTTTTGTACCAACAATTTCAAGGAAATACTTGAAACCGAAGTCACTATCTAATACAAAACTACTAAATACAGTATTGCTTTTGGAAAGTTATTGATTATCACTCCAATAACATTCCAGTGAAGGTTTTGAAGGTTCATTAAACCCCTCCCAGCCTTCTGATATTAAAAATAGCTTACATGTGAAGCAAAGTGATTGGAACATTTACCCTGGTTTTTATTAAATTGGCCCTGTATTCTGTATTTACGCCTATAAACATTTGTTGTGCCTCCCGGTGTACAAACAAACTTATGAACAGTGAAGTAGAAAATCAGTGGTTTAATGAACATTCACGTAGGATTGTTGCAAGACTCATACCTATATATCGTGCTCGTAGCATATGTTTAAGATAAGGAAGAGAGTCTTAATACCACTATAAGGGGAAAAATATAAGAGATGGAGCAAGATGGTCGCTCGAAAATTCACAAAGCTTTAATAATAATAACTGAACTTGCCGAGATCACGAATCACGATAAGTGAAGTCACCCATGAACTGTTCATAGATCACGCCTTCTGACGTCCAAAAGGTCCATTAAAAAAGTTCATAGAAACCTTGTCTTGATATTTGTACGCGGGAAAACTTAAAACCGAGCAAAAACTCATCGTCCTTTCTGCATTCTCCGCCATATTTGTTTTCAAGGAAAATTTGTACTCAGTCTCACTAGGCCGAATTACTTAACTGGGGCGATCATGTAAACTTGGTTCCAGACCTCGCTGCCAGCTCCCCCTAGAGCTGATGATAAAATTCCGCCAAAACAACATTGAACGATGTAAGAATGGAATCATGGAATGGTGGAATGGCGGAATGGTGGAATATAACCCCAAATCCTTAAAGACGGAATATAAAGTACTGGTGTATATATAAAGTTCGATAAAAAAATCTGTAAAAAAAGTAAATGTCGTTGTAACAGGTTAAACATGTGAGTGTTGAGTTCCTGTCTCTTTCCGTTAAAGCGAGTAATCCCGGGAGTGGGAACTCCCTTATATAAGCTATATATTTATAGGTATGTGCCCCCCCCGCTTCGGGTAGGGTTTTTGCGCCTTTTGATCTGAAAACGGTTACAGATTTTGCTTATTTTTGTCTGGGATCGGGTATGGTTTTCGAGGGAGCTACGGGAGTGTATGAACGTATTTATCGTTTCAATTCCAAATGTGAAAGAAAGACGGAGAAATATGCGAATTCTAAATGGATTTGAATAATTTTTTTGTTTGCGCTCTAGTCTAAGTAATGATGACATAATTTCTGCCTACAGGCCAGGTCTGAAAACAGGTGTGGATTTTAGAGGTCTGGTCTAAAAACGGGTGTGGAAAATGACATTTTTGGCCCCCACCAAGGATTCCCAGGAGTACCCACCCCGGGGGAGTAAGTTGCTTTCTGTCACACAACATGTCTAGTGACTGCCTTTTCCTAACTCCGTTTTTTTTTGTATGTTTTTTTTTTTGTAAAAAAATCCAACATTTTCCTTTTTAAAAGTTCAATATTTAGGTCCCTATGTAGTCTGTGATCATGCCCCCCTCCCTTTATCTCTGTAATCTGTTCTGAAGCAGAGAAGCAGAAAAAAAAATAAATAGATAACGCCTGATGTCAGGTTAGTCCCTGTGTAACTGTATTGAAATCCGACAACGTACGTGACAGTCGTGAAGGTCTGTTTTTTCCATACGAAACTGAAGGTGGTCTGTTGACCTCTTTAACATCTGGTCTCGGATCTGGACAAATGTCTCAAATTTCAATTTGCGTTAGCAATCATAAAAGTGGTGAAATAGTCACATTTATTTGAACTTGAAGTAAAAAAATGGGGTACAACTCGTAGTCTAGAGGTAAATATGTTTCAATTGTTTAAATAGCCTGGAGTACTTGATCGATAAAAATTGGTATCCATTTATCAATCGATAAATCGATAAAAATCGGTAAATCTGATTTGATTGATACCGATTGTATCGATCAATCGGTGGAAGTCGATGACACACTCGCTTCGTTTATCGATTTATCTAGATTTTACCGATTCTATCGATTTTTATCGGAAGATACATCTGTTCTTCTGTTCATCCAAAGATGAAAACTGATTTCATATTGAGAGTCGAAGGATTAAACAATTTACTATCACTTTTTTAAAGAAAAGTTTAAAAAAACCTTATCTCTTTTATTAAAAACCCGCTTTAAAGTCTTCTTCGGATGGCCAACATTGGCCAGGTTTTTCATTTTTCCAGTTTTTCACGATTAAGATTTGCCGCTCTTTCAAAATAACGTGTAGTTACTTCCAGGCGAAGCCAATAGATAAAAATCGAAATCGATAAAATTCGTTAGCGATCAAGTGATTTTATCGATTGTTAACGGAAAACGGTGAAAAGCTATCCAGAGAAATCTTTTAGTCTGAATTTTGGGCATCTCTTCGACTCTAGAGGATGTCTGCGCGAAATTCTGGCTGGGAAATCATTTGTCTATAGTTGTATTTCTCGTGGTACTTGCCTGCGAGAACTATGAATGTAATAAAACTGAACCGTTTCTGTTATTATGTACAAAAGGGTCGCGGTTTTTAGAGAGAATCTTGTGTCTGTAATAGTTTCCACATTTCTTCTTTTCATGTTTGTTGATCAGTTGTTACTCGTGGATGTGTTTTCTCAGCTGTACTATTTAACTGATGCCAATAAAAACAAAACAACAATGTCGGACTTACCGTTATAAATCGTTAAAATCGTGAAAAATCGATAATATCGATTTGACACAGCAATTTGGTTTATCGATTTTCACCGATTTCCGTTATCAATAGATAAAAATCGCTTGATTGCTATCGATTTTTATCGATACCGATTTTTATCGATTGACTACTCCGGGTAGACGAGTTTTTTCCCTTCAAATGGGCATCAGACCAACAAAATTATTCTGGCAAGTTCATATCTCGTAATTTTCAAACATTTGGATTTTTTTTTTTAGTAAAATTCCAAAACGTTCAGTCAATACCAAACTTTAAACAGTTCAGTCTTTGTTTTTTCGCCTTTTACTGCAAGTGGCGACCACCCTTCAAACAAGGTGAAACACTGATATTTTTAGGTGTTCCGCCTTCTGCGATTTTTTAGCGATTCCATGGAAAGTTACTACACATCTATTTCATAAGCTAGGTTTTATGTATCCCATTATTATTATTTTTTAAATTCTATGTTGTTTGTCATTTTTATTTTAGTTTTCAAAATTAAGGGAGACATTTCGTCTTTTAGCATTTGGGGCCATTTTCCACCTTTCCGCCATTCCGTGTTATGGGCATTCCATCATTTCATGCTGTAGGGTCGCCACCAAAAATGCATGATTCTGTAAAAAGACTGACGGCGGACGGCGAATGGGGGACGGGAGAAAATAATAAATAAATACTTTTATAAGGGAGGTATATAAGATTAAAAATCGATGTCGGTTCCAACTTGTAGTCTATCGCCTATAAAGGAGAAAAGATCTGTAGTTTCTATCGTTACAGTTTCCGAAGTTATTTTGTAGTAAGGTTTGTGCTTATGTCCCAGAGAATGTACAAGAGAAACTACGCTGATGTATTGTATTTGGCCGGCTGGTACCTCAGTATGTTAAATTTTGCGATATCCATGATTTTTTTGTTTGCTACAGCGATGTCCACTGCCTTAGATATCTTCCGGTTCAACTGACTCCGATAACAAGAATACAGACAAAACTTTGAAACTAGTTGGAAGAGCCGGCTCGGCTTCTCCGCCTAGATTCAAGCCTTTCGAAGAGGGGTGAGAGAAGAGAGCTAACAAAGATAGAGTTAGCTGAACTTTAAAAGATTATTTAGGTCTCAACGTTCAAGGTGTATACATTTGTTTCTGAAGTTATTTGTTTATTTTTTCATTAATAATTTAATTTCAAAGATCAAGCCATGATGAAAGAGAAATAGCGGTTTCCGGGGCCTCTCGCGACACTCGTCGGCATCACACTTCGAGAACTTTTTAGGGTGGCCTGAACCTTAGTTTATATGCGTGTTGGTTACGTTTTTGAATCGCGTTTTTCGGCAGTAACGGCTGAACCGATTTCTATGATTTCTGGCTTCCTTAATAAAGAATAGTTAAACTTTAAGAAAAGTATGGGGTATGTATGGGGGATGCCTTCTCTGTCCTCTTTATCCTCTTTTGCTTTTATCTAAGTGATCTACCCAAACTGCTGAGTTCTACTGCGAGTTCAGAGGACATAACTCAAGGAGAAAAATCTATAAATTACCGCTTACCAAGAGAAAATGATCTATTCTCTCTTGCTCTTACATTCTGGATGACGACCCACAATGAGATGTTTTCTAGATCAGCAAAAGTCCGGCAAAAAATTTTGAGTAAACTGGAATCATTCTGTGACTTTGCTGATTTAGATGCCAACTTGGATAAAACAAAAGTTATCGCATTTTTAATAACTGTAGCACTCAAATTCTTAAACAGCTATTCATATTAACATATGGCGCAAATAAATTAGAAAACTTCAAATCATACAAATACCTCGGACAAATATTGAGCCAATACGGAAATGTTAATCTCGCTAGCCAGGAGCAGGAAAAAATTGCAATCAATGCTCTGTATAAGTTGCGAAAAGAGATGGGAGACCACTATACAGAAAACTATATTACAAATGTAAATTAACGATAAAGTTATAAGTTGACACACTTGTATCCCCGAAACTTTTCTATGGAAGCGAAATATGGGGCATTGACTGCGACGAAAAAATAGATAAGGATCCCGCAAAACTAGTACAGAACAAATTCTTAAAATGGCTACCGGGTGTAAATACATACTGTAATAATGTGTGCAGGGTGGAGACGAGAAGGTTCCTAATGAAAATTGACGCGCAGTGTAGGAAGTTAAAGTTCTGGCTATCTCTGATAAAGAAAGAAAATAAATTATCGCAAATAACAAACGATGATATAAAATGGAATGAAAATAAAGCTTTCTGGAGCAAAAAAAAAATCAGAAGCACATTAAGACAGATCTGATATATACGACTAGGAGAAGTTTGGATAAAAGCACATTAGACTCAACATTAATCGTAGGCATAACAAGGCAAAGGTTTAATTAAGGATATAGAATTACAACAATGGATGAGTGAAATGAATAACGACATACTTAGAAGAGATGCTGACCATAATAACAAAATGAGCCGCCAAAGAATAAGGTTAACAAAAAATTGCGATTTTTATAAGCAACCACAAACTTGCCATAGAAACACGAAACGGGGCTATACTTAAGACCTTAAGGTGATGTTACACGAGCCGATTCGCAACGACGATTTTTAGCACAACGCAGCATTGCAATATTGCTGCGACATTATTTCGAATTGTTACAACATTCTCCAACATTGCAACGCAATTTTTCAGTGCTAACATCTTTCACAACCACCGTCCTATCTCAACAGTCTGAAAGGATATAAGGTTTGCTGGGCTGTAAGGTATGCTAGGCTGTAAGGGCTGTAAGGGCTGTAAGGGTGTAAGGGCTGTAAGGGTGTTAGGGCTGTAAGGCTGTAACGGCTGTAAGGGCTGTAAGGGCTGTAAGGGCTGTAAGGGTGTAAGGGCTGTAAGGGCTGTAAGGGCTGTAAGGGTGTTAGGGCTGTAAGGCTGTAACGGCTGTAACGGCTGTAAGGGCTGTAAGGGTGTAAGGGCTGTAAGGGCGTAAGGGCTGTAAGGGTGTAAGGGCTGTAAGGGCTGTAAGGGTGTAAGGGCTGTAAGGGTGTTAGGGCTGTAAGGTTGTAAGGGTGTAAGGGCTGTAAGGGCGTAAGGGCTGTAAGGGCTGTAAGGGCTGTAAGGGTGTAAGGGCTGTAAGGGTGTTAGGGCTGTAAGGTTGTAAGGGTGTAAGGGCTGTAAGGGCGTTAGGGCTGTAAGGGCTGTAAGGGCGTAAGGGCTGTAAGGGCGTAAGGGCTGTAAGGGCTGTAAGGGTGTAAGGGCTGTAAGGGTGTTAGGGCTGTAAGGGTGTTAGGGCTGTAAGGGCTGTAAGGTTGTAAGGGTGTAAGGGCTGTAAGGGCGTTAGGGCTGTAAGGGCTGTAAGGGCGTAAGGGCTGTAAGGGTGTAAGGGCTGTAAGGGTGTAAGGGCTGTAAGGGCTGTAAGGGTGTAAGGGCTGTAAGGGTGTTAGGGCTGTAAGGGCTGTAAGGGCTGTAAGGGCTGTAAGGGCTGTAAGGGCATTAGGCTATCCTTTCAACTCCAGCCTATCAAAATTGCTTAAAAGAGCCACTATTAAATAGAGAAAATTGTTTTTGGTAGGCCAGGTAATAGGTGCCTTATGGGCAACATAAGCGATTTGCATTTTGGTAGCAAAGCAAGCGCGGGGAAAAAAAAAAAAAACGATTGACGCCAGAAAACGTGTTTTTTGCTCTTGCAAATAAATTGCACTATGGGTGTTTTGCCTTTGGCGCAAACTGTCCTGTCCACCCATGTTCGCTAATAAACCACCTGCCGGAACCAATGTCATAAAGACATTATTATGCAAAAAACAAAAAAAAAATGCTGTTGCCATGACAACAGGCAAGAGCCTTGAAAAAGCCTGGGTTCCCCCTACAAAGGGGTTCCATTCACCATTTTGTTTTGATCGTTGTTACGTTGATAAAAAAAAAAAAAGAGTTAAGCGTCTCATTATACCATGCATTATAATCTGAAACTGCTGTAAGGGTGTAAGGGCCCTTACACGAACCCTTACACTGAAAACCTATTCGTAATTCATGACTGGTATAGACGGTGAAGATACGTTCGAGAAAGCCGTACAAGCCCTGACAAATTAGTTCACTCCCAGAGAGAACCGTGGGTACGAGATTTATGTTTTCCGTTAGGCTAAGCAAGAGCCAAACTAGAACATTTCAGCTTTCCCCACGAGGCTATGGCAACTAGCAGTAACCTGTGAGTTTGCCGACGTCGACCGCGAGATCATGACAGATTGTTCAAAGTTGTAGTTCCCACAAGCTTCGCACAAAAGCGCCCGAGAACCCGTCGTACACTCTGACGCAACTGTTAGATGCCGAAAGAGCCATGGAGCTGTCACAAAAACAAGCCACTAACTTAGAAAAGAGTCAAACCGTAAACAAGTTGTCCTCACACGGTGGCTATCGAAATCAACGGAATTGGAACGCCAAAGCAGGTACAAAAAAAGATGGCGGACGCGTTACTGACAAGAAGTCACGCAACCGGAAGTCAGGCGGCGATGGTCACGAGATCTGGAAATCATGTGATAAGTGCCGAAATTGTGGTGGAGACTACCCCCATCCCGGTAGGAAAAACGTCCTGTCCCGCTTATCAAGGCACTTGCCAGGGCTGTGGCAAGTTAAACCACTTTGAAGCAGTATGCAGATCCAAAGGAAAGGGGAATAGCCGAAACAAACGCCGTTCGACAGTGAACAAAGTGAGCGAGGACGAACCAAGTGACGAAGGTGAAGTATACACGTTCTCTCTGATCACGAAGACCCTGAAGGATCAGCCCCTCTTCAAGATCAAGGTACATGACATGCCAGTAACGATTATGGCTGACTCTGGAGCGAGCATAAATATTCTGGATGAACAGGTATACCGCAAGTTACCCAACTGTCCCAAGCTTGAACCAAGTAGTGTGTAAATTTACAGCTACCAGTCAAATGTTCCCCTTGGCAGCCTGGGAAAATTGAGTACCACGCTTGCGTCGGAGACGAAGAAGCCGCACGCCAAGTTCTATGTGGTGAAGTGACTACAAACAACGCAACCAAGAACTATATCGGACTGACAGAAGGGACGTTTAAACAAAGATTTTCACAACACAAAGCGACATTTAAACACAGGAAATACACGAACAGCACCGAACTCTCCAAATACATCTGGAAACTACGTGATAATAATCAAGACTTCAACATCAAATGGACTATAATCAGCCGTGCAAGACCCTACAACAACATTTCTAAACGATGCGACCTATGCTTAACAGAGAAACTAATGATCATTACTGCAAACCCCGACAGAATCCTAAATAAAAGATCAGAACTGATTTCCAAGTGCCGCCACGAAAACAAGTTTTACCTTAGGAACAATTGACTCAATAACAACACTCTATTAGTTTTTCCTCACACCTAATTGTAATTAGAACCGCACTGCCCTGCTTTTTGCAATCAATAGACGTGTATATATATAACTTGATAGGTTTATTCCCCATTAAATACTGTCTGATGAGTGCGTGAGCACGAAACTCGGAGTAACAGAGAATTTTGTCTCTTCGTTATATCTTCTTATTGTCCTATTTATAATTATTTTCTAAAACTGTTTTTCTTTCAATTGGTGTTAGGTTTTTCCTGATAACTTCATGCGCCGTGAAGTGCAAGCTTTTGTTGTCAACTGCACATTTAAGGATGAAGGATGCCAGTGGAAAGGGGAAGTCAGAAACTTGGAGGTGATTTACCGTAAAATTTGCGAAAATAGGGACCTTTAGCATCAGGTTTTTCGTGGGAAACGGCAAACCGCAAACCGCAAAATGTCACGTGATCACGGCCTTGCGGTCACGTTTGCAGTTTGCAGTTCACGTTTGAACCGCAGGAAGGGCTTCCAGCGGTAAGTGATTTACGGCAAGGTTTTTTGCTAGAAAAAATTGTACAGCCTCGCGTTTAAAGGTATGAACTAGCTTTTTGTATCCGTTTGCGATGTGTTTGTTGGATTTTTGATCTCGAATCAATGAATTATTGCTGATTTTTGGGCGATTAAAGTGATGCACTTCGACTTGATGAAAACAACATGGCGGCCCTAAACAATGAACGCGTAGTTCAAATCAATTTTATATTCGTTTCTGCCGTACTAACAATGGAAAGTATTCTGTTCCAGTCCAGAGTTAGATTTTTTTTTCTTTCTTGTTACTAAATTCATAACTTAACTCAGTCTCTGTTTGGTTCCTATTTTTAACGTATCACTCCGCGAATATCATTTTATTTTGCTTATTTCTTTTAGACTGGGGAGCTCAGGCTTCATAAAGCCTTCTGGTTTCTTCTGGGCTCCCTTGCAACCTTACAATTCCTACATGTATTCTTGTATTGTATTGTATTTTGGCTAAATAAAAGTGAACTGAACTGAACTGAACAAATCGAACTGAACGCCTTGCTAAAGTTTGAAATCTCGGCAACGCGAAACTACAAACGCGTAACTGCGGTTTGAGGTTTGCGGTTTACCTGATGCTAAAGGTCTCTAATGTCAAAAAGGGGAAGCATCAGTGGTACTTGTTCTGTACAGAGAAAAGAAAACAGAGAACAAAAGTAGTAGCTAATTTCATGTGTGTGGTAGTTCAATTACAGTAACCGTTTTCCTTTTTTCAACAGGCCCACACCAACAGCTGTGAGTTTGTCAGACTTCCCTGTGTACATCCTGAGTGTGGCATGTTGGTGAAAAAAGCTGATCTTCCTCAGCACCTGGAAACAGAATGCAAGTGTAGACCTGAAACTTGTGGATTCTGTAAAAAACAAATCAGCTCGAACAAGTTAAAGGTGTGACGCCTTGTGCTCTTTATTGTACTAAAAAATCTGCTATATCTGACATAAATTTATGATATGTGCACTCGTTTTGGGTTAACGATGATTTGTCAAGGTTTTTCACATTTTCAAACAAGTTTCTGCACATATCTGTGGACACTGATATTCATCAACAAAAAACGTCCAGTAGTACAATCTTTTGCTTTTCTTGGTTTTAATTGAATGCGCATTATACAATAATATGTCATTTTTATAATGTTATAACATGATTTCTTTCAACGTGGTCGGAAAAAGAAGCAATATAGAGAGAACGAATTATTTGTCATACGAGAGTTGTTAGCAGTGTATTTATTGTTTATTTATAATTTCGTACAGCTGCATCAAGAAAACGAATGTCCAGCGTATCCAACTGTGTGTGAAAAATGCAACAAAGACGGAATTCCACGAGCAAAGGTACAGCTATATAAGACTGTGGTGTGGCTTGTTTTCTTTTCAGTCAAATTCTAGTAACAGTAGGGCAGCACTTTATCCCCGTTATCTCAGACAAACAAAGGAGAGACACCTACATCACTTAATTGTTGTGACACGTACTTAGAAGTTTTTTACTCATGAAGTTAGTGGTAACCTGCTTGTGGCTCTTAATTCTTACTTAAAGCTTTCGCACTTATTTCCTCGAATAAGCGCCCGGGCGCTTATTCAAAATTTAGGCTGAAAGGATGGGCGCTTCTGAAATGAGGGTGCTTAATTGAGGGAGGGAGCACTTTAAGTTCTCCTGTTTGTAATCAAGCATACTGTAGTCCCTTCATATTGTGTACACACAGATTTATCGGTATAAAATGTTGAAGTTGAAGCTGAAAAAGTTATCGTTGAAATGGAAACGGGTTTTCCTGGTATCCCTACTATTAAGAAAATGATGAGGGAGGGGCCCATACTCGATATTTTAGCCGAGGGCGGTGAGCCCTTTTTCGAGGAAGGGTACTTATATAGAGCGTGGGCGCTTATTCACGGAAATACGGTACATGTATTCTTCTTGTAATGTAGTGCTGTTTCCGGCATTTTCCAGGAATGAGATACAAAGCATAAGTTCCGGACATATGCACTCAGTTCCCCTCTCATTTCCCAGCTGACTTCACTGGTGACAGTGCGTTCTGGGATAATAATTTATGAATATTGTTTTTGAGGATTAAAAAAAGTAGGCACAGGGTGTAGACGACGTGGCTGTGACGTATTATGCCATCGTACATTACCATTCTTCTTCAGGTCAAATTTCCCCTCTACTTATATCAACTCCTTACTATTATCCTTTCAGTTGCCAGAGCATCAGGATCCAGTTGTAGGAGACTGTGATGCAGTGCAAGGACCGTGTCCATTTGCACAGATTGGCTGCTCAAGAACCCAGGTACACGAGATTAAGGGTTGCTCCTTCGTCCCCTACGCAACAACACAGCTCAACTCAACTCAGCATTTTTCAAAGCAAACAAAATGACTTCCAGAGAATTCTATTTCTTTTTAGTAAAATTACCAAAGGCAATAAAACCTGTAATCTGCACTGACGAGATACTGACGAGCCTCTGTTCCACTCGAGATTTCAACTCACGTTCGAGCTTCTGGCTGCTTATCGAAATACTCTGACCAACAAGACAGCCATTTTGTTTTCTTGTCACTGAAAAATATGATCACATTTGTGGAAAGTGAACAATTTTGTTTATAGCCTCCATTTCTTTTGTAGACCCTCAACTCAAGGCAAAAGAGAGAGCACCTGGAGAGCGAAAATGTTTATCACACAACTTTGCTACTTCATCAGGGTCTAAAGATGGGTCGAGAAATGGAAGCAGTGGTGACTCGTGATCCAAGAATCCTGTCAAGAAGCCCGCATATCTTCACAAACTATGACGGCATCATCTCTGACATACTTGCCCAAATTCAAACCACTACCGTAGAAAACAGGGATTTACGAGAAAAACTACGAGAGAATAGTGAACGAATAACCTCCCTTGAAAGAAAAGTGGCCTCAGGGAATCTCACGGCAGCGGCCCCATCTGCTCAAGTGTCTGGTGATTCAAGTGGTAGTGTACCAAACAACGAAATTGCACGAAGGTTAAACAATCTTGATAATAAGACCGCTGACCACGAGGTGCTGTTGGTTGAAAGTAATCGTTCAATTGAGCAGGCAAATCGAGATGTGGGTAATGTAAGGCGACTGGTTGAGACTGTCCAGGAAACCGTCAGAAGGGTTGAAAGAAGGATTGAGTCTATTGAGCACACCCTGGCTCTAAGAAATGTCACCTTAGCTGATTTGGAGGAATACATCAGGCAGCAGGAGTTTTCAAGCTACGATGGCCAGTTGCTGTGGAAAATAACTGAATTTGCACGTAGAAGAAACGAAGCAGTCAGCGGGCAGCAAGTCTCTTTCTACAGCCCTTGTTTCTACACCAGTCGCTATGGATATAAGATGTGCGCCCGCATATATTTAAACGGAGATGGCATGGGCCGAGGAACACACATCTCTGTGTTCTTTGTGGTCATGCGCGGTCAGTATGATGCAATTCTCCGCTGGCCATTCAGACAGAAGGTCACGTTCATGTTGTTGGATCAAGATAATGTTGAACACGTTATCGATGCGTTCAGGCCTGACCCCAACAGCTCCTCGTTTCAGAGACCGAGGAGGGAAACCAACATTGCAAGTGGGTGTCCGATGTTTTGCTCTCTGACCGAATTAAATAATCACGCTTATGTGCGCGATGATACCATGTTCCTAAAGATCATAGTCGACACTACTGACCTGTAGGCGAGATCGTGCTGTGTCTGCAGGGTTTAATTAAGTCAGGCTTTAAGGATTTTTCCCGCCGTCTAGCCTAAGGACGTTCGCGTTTGTATGCTTCCTTACTGCGGACGCAACTCATGTTGCTATGCCAATTCATGTCATGTATTGAGTGCGAGAGCAAAGGAAAATGATAAACAAATAAAGAGCTGTTGCTTTCGTCAGAGGGTTTAAATGGTCGTTATTAGAGGTACAGAATTCTAGCAGAGCTGGAAAGTTGCATCCTAGAGATTCACTTGTAGTATTTTTCAGAATAATACCAAAACAGATTGGAAGATTTTCGCGCGAACGTCCTTACGCTAGATCGATGATTGGTGATGGGATGGTTAAGGTGTTTCGATACAGTTTTTCAGAGGCCACACCGATATTTTTCAATCGCCTCAAAGGTGGTTTTTTCTTTGTCCGATCGCTATAAAATTTTTCACCAGTAATTGGCTATGGATTGAAATTTGTGAAAATGTAGTTTTAAGTAAAATCGATATTACTATGACAACAATAAATAAAAAACTTTTAAATTGATAAAAGCTGAATTTTGTGTGATCTAGACCAGCTACTGAAAATCCAACACTAGGAACTTAAAATTTGGTGTTTAGCAAACAATCTCCGCAAGAAGTAAAAACTTCTGTATGTTTAAATTCGACTAAAACGAAAACATATTTCAAACCTTAAATTTATAAATGACTCAAATTATTCTTAAGTAGCGTCAGAATGCTGCTTAATATCAGATTTTGATAGTAGGAAAATTTGGTGTATTTTCGTTCTTGCGATCTTGAAAACTAACCCGTTTTCTAACCACCTGTATAAGTGCAACTTCATTCAAAATTTGGACTTTGAGCGCATTTTGGAATATCTCTGAAACGACTTGAACGAATTTTTTTTAAATCTCTTCACATAATCTTCATAATGTATATAGTAAGGTCTGAAACTTTCATTGAGATTGATTCACTGCAACGTCTTAAAATTTCAAGACAAACCTTTTCATACGAACTTGTCAAAAATCTGCGTTACCACATTCACTGTTTTGACGTTATGCTAATTAATCCAAAATGATGCGCACTATACATACCTCCATGACTAGTACATTTTAGTTTGAATTTATTGCATCTTTTGAATGTAAAACATTGACAATACTCACAATGAAATATACTAATCATGGATATATGTATGGTCCGCGTTAATTTGGAAAAATTAGCGTAACGTGTATAACTGTGAAAGGTTTGAACCCAGGAGTCATTTCAAAAGGTTGACTTTGATCGTCCGGGTGAACGTCGTCCTGAATAGGACTGTTGTTGTTGACAGTGACTGATGTCTCGACAACCTGTGTGGTAGTCATCGTCAGAGTCAAAGGGAGTTGTATCACGTCAGTTGATGGTATTATACTCTGGTTATTGATCTGATTGGTCAATTATGTCGCGATGTTATTGGTCGTCTGTCAGTTAAGCCGTGATGTTATTGGCTATGAAGACTCGTAATCAGTGATAGGTGCGGTTCGATCCGTCTATTGTCACAGTTAAACAGTCGTATCACTGATTACGAGTCTTCATAGCCAATAACATCACGGCTTAACTGACAGACGACCTAGCATCGAAATATGATTTCAAGCAGCGTTCCGACGCTACCTATAAAAACAATTATAACGTTTTTATTAAATAATCTATCACAGCTATTGAAAATTTAAGGTTCGAAATATATTTTCTTTTTAGTCGAATTCAAACATACAATTTTTTACTTCTTACGAAGGTTATTTGCTAAACACCAAACTTTAAGTTCCTAGTGTTGGATTTTCAGTAGCTGGTCTAGATCGCGCAAAATTAGACGTTTATCAATTTAAAAGTTTTTTGTTTATTGTTGTCATATCAATATCGATTTTACTAAAACTTACATTTCGACAAATTTCAATTTATATTCTCAAACTCATTAATAATTCATAAAGAAAATACAAAGAAAATTAATGTTTAATGAGTGTTTGGAAATCGGATGAAAAACTGCTTAGTATTTGCATCCTTAATTTCTCCTTCAAAAATGATTTTGTTTGAGAAGAAATATCAAACATTCGACACAGTGTTTCATCACCAGATGAAACACCTCGAAGTTCGTCAAAAATACTCCGCTGCGCGTCGTATTTTCAACTCTCTTCTCGGTGTTTCATCTGGTGATGAAACACTGCGTCTCATGTTTGATATATTACGTCAATCATTGGTGAAAATTTTATAGCCATCAGACAAGGATAAAATCACTTTTGAAGTGATTGAAAAATATCGGTATGGCCTCTGAAAACTATATCGAAACAGCTTGAGTAATAATTGCTTATTCTCTAGTCTTGTATCTCCGTGATTGGTACTCGTATAGAAACGTTTCTGACTAAGAACCAAGTTGTCGGAAATTGAATGTGCTGATGAAAGCTCGTTATTTTATTTCACTCATTTTTGAACAACAAACACCCAGCTCCCTCTCTCAGTCAGGTACTACGCATGACGCTATGTAAAACTGATCAGAACACTAATCGAAGCCACGATTTCCTGGGCTCAATTCTTTGTCCAATGCTCTAAACTTTCCGTTTCTTATTTCATGACCGGAAATTCAAGATCCCTCTGGAACTTTTACAACAAAACCTCTTGTCTCATGGATACTCAGTTCTCTCGATCCCCTGAACACCAAAATCCATGCGATCCCTACTGCTACATATGCAATCTGTAGTAGAGATATTTCTTTAGTGCCCGGAGACCACTTGGTTCTGTCCCTTTTTTGACATATTAATGAGGTTTTACTTAACGCAATGTCCTTCTTTCGATGAAACAGTTACATTTTTGATTTTTCATATGACTGCGCGCAAGATAAGCTTTTGTAAATTAGGTTAATTTTGGGTAAGATGGCTACAAAGATCCAGTTGATAATGGAGCACCAACTGATATTTAAAAAGAATACACGGCGAACCCACAATAGAGACAATGCAATTCAATTATTTTCTTTTGTTTTCTCACTACGTATTTCATCAGAAATATGGCGTTTAGGCTTCTTACAGAAAGTTTTTAAAGGTTTTTTTAGTCGGGTTTCTCTGTATTGGCCTGTTGTTGTCCTTCATTGTCTTTTTATGGAACTGGAATTACGCAGCCATCTTAACGTTGTATTCGGTCAACGAGTCATAATTTTGATGAGAGGGGTGTTGGAGGGGGTTTATAGGTGGTAACACTTAGATATCTATGGGGAGCACGAGGACCATCAGTGCCACTGGGTAATAGCTACTACCTAAAGTTGTCGCACGTCCGCGTCGTGACCCCCGGTAATGCATTTTTTTTTTGTAGCTAAGCGACAACGGTCCAAGACGAGCTTTTCAGCGCTTACAATGGCGAGTTGTAGTGGCCTCGGGCCTACAGTCAGATTAGCCTTAGGCCGATGGTTAGGATCCTTAGTGGACTGTCGTGCCAAAGTACCAAGTATAACTGCACTGCTTTATTCAAATTTCATCTCGTTTATTAAACCAGTGTTTCTTTTTTTACATCAAATATACGACAGCTAATTTTGACTGTTACCGTTTAGCAGGGAAATTTTGACGCTTTTTTGCGGATATTGCGGATGTCTCTCGATCTTAAAGAAAGACATTCCGCCATTTATCTCTCTTAAGTTTCTGAAGAAATTTACCTCCTTCTGGCTTCAGTTCATTGAAAACGCTGAAATTAGGCGTTGCTGGAGCGGTAGCTCAGACGAAAGCCAAAACTAGTACGACAGTCCTTTAGGGCAGGAAATGTCTTCAAGGAAGACCGTACGTTATTAAACATTTATGAAAAACACTTTCCTTATTAACGTTTTGCTTTTTCATCTTGAACCGCTGAAATTATTTTGTTCCCGCCAATAAAATAATAAAAACTTCCGGGTGTCAGTAGAACGCGGTGTCGGGGCTGGGGTTGGGGTCGGGATCTATCTTTTTTTTAAAAGAATGCTGTTTTAGAGTTAGGTTAGGGTTATTAAGGTTTAGGGTTAGAGTTAGGGTTGACACTAACCCTAACCCTACAAAACCCTAACCCTTAATAACCCTAACCTAACCTAACCGCAAAATAGCATTCTTTAAAAAAAGATAGACCCCGACCCCACGTTTTACTGACACCCAAAACTTCCTAAAAAATTCTCATGTTACTCAATAATTAGATTAAAACCAGTCTTTTTTCCTCCTTAACAACAAAAAGCCGGAAAGATATGATCTAACCGCAAATAGATGATCGTAAAGTAGTAATTTCAGTCTGTGGATTGTTCACATCCAGATAAATTTCAAGAATAATAAGATACGTTAAACTGATTGACATTAACTGAAATGTAACGAAACGGCTTTTTTGGAAAGTATATAGCTGTAAATAAGTTAATGTACACCATACCGTCTAACAGTAAAAACTTGCATACGAGAACCTACCCGATTACGAACCTTTTGCCGAGATTTTTAGGGCCTGTTTACGTGGAGATAAGGGACCCCAGGTAGGTTAGGTAACCCGTAAAAAATGCTCTAATCTCAGTAGGTTCTTGTACCGGGTTCTACCTTAGCAAGTCTTTATTGAATTTATTAATTATAATTGTAGTTTTTTCAGCTGCGAGATTATCGTTATCAAATAGTTGATGCAATGTAGAGGGTCTGAATGGGGTTTAGTGTTTGGTGTAAGTTGCCCGTAACTTTTAGTGTTTGCTGTTGAATTGACCAATTTTTTAATGATTGCTGTTTCTGGAGAAACTACTGTTAGTGTTTGGAGGGTTTTTCGTAGGAAAAAAAATAGTCTTGTAACATTGTCGATTCTTATCTGCTCTTGGAGAATTTTCAGGTCTTTCAGATTTCTCCCTGGAAATCTTCGGTTGTGTTTGGACATCTTCGGCAGTCTTTGGACATCTTCGGTAGCCTTCGAAAATCTATTGAAATATCTAGAATTGCCGAAAACTCCTTGATGTTACTTAAAGCAAAATAATATTGGCTTTTCTGGAGCCGTTAT